GGGGGGTAAAAACGCCTACATGAAAAAGAAAATTTTAGAAGTTCAGGTCAGGCTGCCACTGCCACTCCAGTTGGGTGAGCGATACGTGTACATGTTCATCATGTATGTGTACATTAACGTACGTACAAAGTAGGCTACAACGTTTTGATTGACATGACAGGAATCTTAACTGTGATAAGTCATGTACTACTGTAAAACAACAGAGCAGATCCTATCTCAAAACTGTACGTGTATAGGATCTTTGACTTTGTACTTTAGTAACATAGATACGGTTCTCACGTTCAGTACACCAGTCACTCTCGTGGCCTAGAGGTCAAGGTGTTCGCCTCTCATTCAAAGGTCCCAGGTTCGAATCCAGGTAGCGATGGAAAATTTTCTTCGCTAAAATTATCTTCTTTCACCTCCTTTCCTGCTGTCTAGCCATAATCTGTCGTCTGCTTTCGTCTCCACTTTCTGTCCCCAACCCCTCACCTCCTTTGCCCCCTCCTCTGGGCTCCTGACTCTTTCTGTAGCCTTTCTACTGCTTCTCCTTGGCTTCTTCTTACTGCTTTCTTTCAGCCACACCCCTGATCTTCTGGTAGGAAAGGTCTACACCTGGCCTTCTCGGACAAGGGCGAAAAATCTCAGAGGGCCCGTGCGCAAGTTGCGCACGTTAAAGATCCGTTGGTGGTCCAAAATCGATAAAGGAGTAGGCTTCGCCGCCGCGCTTTTCCCTTTCGTCAACCCGCAGCCACCTCCCGAATCGTCAGCCACCCCCAACCTTTGACACGGGTCAAACGTCCGTCTATTTATAGGTAGTTAAATTACCGGAACATGTATTAGACGAAGTGATTAGCAATGATAGTCGGAATAGAGAGATTGTTTTGGTCTCTCTTTACTCATCGGCACCACACGAATTTAATTGATGTTTTTCCCTGGACTCCGCCTTTACTAAAGTCTCGAATCTAGATCTAGTTGTAATCTAGTTTTACAGGTTGCAGATTTAATAAATTGCCGACAGAGAGAGAGAGAAGGGGGAGGAGTAGATCTTGCGAGAACTTTCGGGCAAAACAAAATAGCGACCCGCGTAGTTCGGCTCGATTCGAAAAGTGAAAGAGCCATAGCATCTTTGTAGACGATCAAATTAGCTTAGTTTTGTGCTATAACTTAATTTTTTTCTTTGCTTTTGTTAATTTGAACATCCACACCGATTGAAAGTATTTCGAAATTAGGAAAATCAGGTCTTGTTTCACACTGGGTGAGAATAGCCAACGCTGGCAAGTCTCATCCGGGGTGAGAGGTCAATCGTAGGCCTAGGGTTTTTATTCTCACCCCGAGTGAGGATAGCCACTTCCTTATTTAAATGATTAGATATCTAGGTGATTAAACTTGATCTTTTATTGACAATATAAAAGTCAATTTAAGCTTCATTTCGTTAGAAAAAAATGTTAGGTTTGCTAACTTCTTAGACTTTGTGTTAAACAACACTTTTAACAAAACGAATCCTTACAAGCCTAGTCTTGGCCTTTATTGTGATCTCGAAGGTTTAAAAGTAGAAGTAGAAGAGTCTATTACTAGAGTCTAGAGTCTAGATCTAGTCCAATTTATTTAATCTCTTGAATGAACTGGATAACAGAAATCTGCAACCTGCCACTAGATTACAACTCTAGATCTAGATCTATAGACATCTAGATTCGAGATTTTAGTAAAGGCAGAGTCCAGGGGAAAACTTCAAGAAATTCTCGTGGTGATGAGTAAAGAGAGACCAAAACAATCTCAATAAATAATATATCGCGACTATCACGGCACATCACTTCACCTATACATGTTCCGGTAACTACCTATAAATAGATGGAAGTTTGACCCGTGTCAAAGGTTGGGAGTGGCTGACGATTCGGGAGGTGGCTGCGGGTTGACGAAAGGGAAAAGCGCTTCACCGCCACCCGGGCAATATTAAAAAATTCCTACCGACTGAAAATGATAGGTGTGTCAGTGTCATATGACCTTGTGCAGTTGCGAGTGCCGAAAAACTCTTGTACAACATTCTGATTGACACGACAGGAATCTTAACTATGATAAGTCATCTAGTACTGTACAACAACATAGCAAAGATCCTAACTCAAAACTGTAGTGTATAGGATCTTTGACTTTGTACTCTAGTAAATTGTATGTAGATCTAGTTGTATGCGGTTCTCACGTTCGGTACACCAGTCACTCTCGTGCCCCACGGGTCAAGGTGTTCGCCTCTCTTTCAAAGGCCCCGGGTTCGAATCCGGGTATTATAGCGAGGGAAAATTGTTTTATCTCTAAAATTATCTCTTTTAACCTTCTTCCTTGCTCCTTTGCAATGTTCTGTCTTCTGCTTTCGTCTCCACTGTCTGCCCTCACCCTCCTTTTCCCATCCTCTGGGCTCTTGACTCTTTCTGTAGCCTTTCTACTGCTTCTCCTTGGCTCCTCTTATTACTTTCTTTCAGCCACTTCCATGATCTTATTGTAGGAAAGATCTACACCTATCGTTCTCGGACAAGGGCGAAAAATCTCGGAGGGCCCGAGCGCAAGTTGCGCACGTTAAAGATCCGTTGGTGGTCCAAAATCTATAAAAGATTAGTCTTCTGCAGCCACCCGGGCAAAATTCTAATTTTCCTACCAACTGAAAATGTTTGGTGTGTCCCGCGCGCTCATATGACCTTATTCAGTTGCGAGTGCCGTAAAACCCTTTTTTTTAAATAATTTTTTTTAAAGTACAACGTTCTGATTGACATGACAGGAATCTTAACTGTGATAAGTCATGTACATACTACTGTACAACAGCATAGCAAAGATCCTATCTCAAAACTGTGAGTGTATATGACCTTTGACTTTGTACTGTACTAACATAGATACCGTTCTCATGTTCGGTACACCAGTCACTCTCGTGGCCTAGAGGTCAAGGTGTTCGCCTCTCATTCAAAGGTCCCGGGTTCGAATCCGGGTAGCGACGGAAAAATGTTCTCCTCTAAAGTTATCTCTTTTCACCCCCTTTCTTGCTCCCTTGCAATTTTCTGTCGTCTGCTTTCGTCTCCACTTTCTGC